AGACATGTAAAGTAGAAAGTGAATTTACAATAGCAGATGTTTTTAGGTAAACAAAATCCAGTTTTTACTGTATTCAATGTACCGTATTTAATGATGTTTCAACACTTATAGGCAGTACACTCTTCACAAGAGCTTTTGCAAAGCTAAAATTGACATTGACAATTTAGATCTGTGGGAGGAGTCCACTGATGGCTCAGGTATGTTAGATAGAGTGATCTACTGTTACATGTAATTGTTTAACTACATTATGGATTGATTATTGTTTTCTTTTTGATAAAAGTACATCGACTTTTACCTCGAGAAGAAACACTGGGTCAGGTAATTGGTACATGGGGTCAATATAGGGTAAGTATCAGAATCAAGCAGTTTTTCAATAATTGCAGAAACCATGATAAATGTGATTACTAAGTTTTCATGATTGCGCTGTTGAACAGCATCATTCCCAACATTCCATCAAGTCCCAATAATGACTCAGCACACAGAGTGTGTTGGTCAGTCCAAGCCAAAGAATCACATTTTACTGACAAACCAAACACAAATATCTTATTAACAAGACCCAGAAGTAGAAAAAATTTTAAACTCTTGTAGTGAAGTAGAGTCTTGGACCACAATGATTGAGAAATACATTTCTCAACCACAACACTATCCTAATTAGCATAAAGACAATAGATAGCTAGGTCCAGGGCCTTTYGTCCATTGTTCRYGATCAGTAATGCATGAMATTTCTTTRTTTTYTCCTRCCCCTACCCAAAGCTAATCTGACACTAAATGATTTGAAGACCTATTGCATTGTACATGTCGCTTCTAGTTAGARCTATTTCTGATGATGCTGTTTGTTTTCAGGATAATATGAAGCTTGTCATAAGAGAGAAGGGAGAAACAAGAGCAGGATCAAAGTCAGCTATCCTTGACATGTAATGTTAGGCACTCTTTGTAGAACTCAATAGTATTTTTTAGAAATTTTTAAACTAATATTTTTATTGTGAATGTCTGTAATGGCTTTYAYATTATTTCTATAYGTGGAAAAGTGTATATTTATCTTTYACTAGAAGTTGCATCTTTTCTGTTATGTGAACCACTGAATAGTTGAAGGGATTTATTTTTGTTTTTCTTYAAAGTATTCCCTTAGTACGCAGGATTCATCAGGATGCATTGTGAATTTTTTGAGTAGGTTTGTGTAAATATCCCTGATGTACTACCTTGTCGTCATGTATAATTCACATAAATATTGGATTCATTGTTGTAGCTATTGACRACTGTTATAATGGCTACCACTAATTAGCTATTATCATTTAGTTCAGAGGCAGAAAAAACATCAAAACAAGGCTACAGTACAAATGCCTTAGCAAAGAATTGCATACAAATTCTTTTTTTTTTAATTTTCCAAAAATTCATATTTCCAAATAGTTTTTCCTCTGAAAGTGCTTGATTTTCCATAATATTGTCAATCATGGTAAGCACTTACGAATCAAAATTGTCTACATTTTTAGGCTTGAATCAAAATAACACAGTCATACATGTTGTMTACTTGCAAATTTAGCAATGGTGTATAATAAAAATAATGATATTTACAAATTTAGCAATAATATTATAAGAATACATTTTCCTTTAAAAAGAGGTTTGCTTCCTTTTGAGCTTTTTTTATTTTTCACTGAATTTGAATGCCATTGTTATCAGTTAAATCATATAAAATGATACTACAAGTTATTTTAAATTAAAATTTATTTAGTTATATTGAATTTGCAAAATTAAATTGGAATTTGTTTATTCGAATTACTTTTTTAACACAAAATAGTTTTCAGATCAATGGTAAACATGTAGTTAATGTGATACATGAGATAAGAGAGTCCCTAAGAAGTAGAGCCAAACTCTGTTCTTTTCTTTTCCTTGATTACAGTGCAACTTGCTTGTTTTTACATGAATTATTGCCAGCCATATATGCAATGGAAATGCTTTACTCAGTAGAGGCTGCTTATGTCAGTTGCAAAGTCATCACATACATGTAGTTGTCAAGAAACAAAATCAAAAACTTTATATTATGCTTTGTACACAAGGTAGTCTCCTTGCAGCCATGTCTCCTTGCAGCCATGTTTAGTTTCATTCACATGTAATGCARCCTCTCAACCAAAACTAAACATGGCTAGATAGTCTAAGAGGAGACTATACGTAAGGTGGAGTGCACAGCAAGTAGGTAAAAAAAGGTTGGCTGTACTTTACTAAAAAGTGAAATAGGGCCTTAGACCAATAGTGGTATAATAAAACATTATATTTTTGACAGCAATGGCTGTGCTTACCTCTGTCTTCCAATATAAATATGGTGGGAAATGGACAGCCCAACTCAAAAGAACTTTGAATGCATCAACATTTCTCAAGCAGTGTTTGTATGCCAGAGAATAGAGACACAAGCAGCTGCTTTCTAGTTCTTAATTTTAAAACCATCCTAACATTTTCAAGCACACTAGTCTATTGCAAAACACTCTGGAAAACTATGACTCTTATTAAATTGTTTTCCTAATAAGGAGTGCTTGCTTAATGATAATATCGAAGTCTTTAAAATGCTGTTGTATATACTGTGATAGAAATTCCAAACAGTAAGTGATCATTATTATACAGTTAGTAGTAGATAAAAGAAWTGCTGTACAAAGTATTTGTGAATAAATTGATAATAAAGAAATTTTATGGAAATATATCCCAATCATTTCAAGCACAGTTATTCTATGCACACACCAGTTTTGGTACATACACTAGAGGATATTACATGGGCACATGGAGATGTAGATTTTCAACACAAGAAGATAAAATTTGTATCTCCAAACAGCCATGTAATATTCTGTTTATCATATGCATGTAATTATATATGAAAGCATTATTATGTTTTTAAAAAAATATCTTTAAAAAGATACCTTTGTTCAAATATATAGAGAAACCTTGCACTCAAGAAAGAGAGAAATATAGATATTTCATAGGAAGGACTGGGGACCGGCAACTTATTCATTGAAGTTGCCAAATTGCAACTAGTTGAAGATAACATGCATAAAGTCATGCTAGTATTTAAAGGCTTTCTATGGAAAGTCATGGAATTTGAGACATTCAAAATGGTATGACCCCTGAGAAAAAACAACACTATATGGAACTACTACTACACTGTTTGTTTGATGTTTGYCCCATTAGGATTTCAGCTGGTTTATCTCTTACACTGACACATKTATTACCATGTATATAAAATCTTAAAGGCATTTCTGCTGCTTCTGTTCCATAAGAATTGACACCAATCCTAGTAGATGTAACAATGCTGGRATTGTTTTCTTCATCTGGGTCATCTTCAATCCAAAGAATCTTTGAYGAAACCATGTCCTCTTTGTTCAAGGCATCCTTTGTTATGCCCATTGCCTGACAGAGTTTTGAAGGACCATTACAAAGATCCTTGGTTTTGARTGCTTTAGCAGATGTATTCTTTTTCTGTCCACGTAACTTTGACATCCTTTCAATACCTGGAAATAGAAACATGAAAAATAGGAATTATATGAAACACTCAACAGGCCTGTAGGCTGCCTTACAAATATTTTCATAATGCAGATCTAAATTAAATGTTTAACTAAATTAGTTTAATGCACAGTATATTGTGATAGAACTGGCTGTAGAGCAGTTCATGACAAATTCTACAATTTCAAAAACAGTTCATACAAAAGAATGTTAAAATAGAACAAATAAAAAAAGAGAAACACTGGACTTTTTAAGCTCAGTGGAAAGAGGGGGG